TGGTCCAGGTTATAACACGTTTATCGTTTTTCTTGCTTCCAACCAAAAAGGAATTTAGAGGTGCTTGTATGGTTGCTGCATGAGATAAGAAACGTCAATAAAAATTGAGCATAGCAAGAAATCTTCTTAAATCCTTCACTGTAGACGGTTCGCGCATATCGCGGACAGCGGTGATTTTGAAAGGGGTCGAACGCCATCGGCGAAAATTTCATGACCAAGAAAGGATACTCTTGGTTGGCCAAAAACGCATTTGGAAGGATTAAGACTGACACCGTACCTTTGAAAACGTTCAAAACTGTTCTAAAATGTGATAGGTGTTTTTGCTCTGAAGAGGAGGCGATTAAGACGTCATTAAAAAAAGGTACACAAAAGTCGAGGCCGATTAACACCTGATTCATGAAGCGTTAGAACGTTTGAGCAACACTGCATAAGCCGAAAGTCATGACCGGAAACTCAAATAGTCCAAAAGGCGTAATAACCGCAGTTTTTGGAATATCAGCTGGGTTAACGGGCACTTGGCGATACGCTCGCTCAAGATCAAGGGTTGTAAAAATAGCTTTTCCCTCTAAAACTTGCATACAGTTTTGAATGTGCGGGACTGGCTAACGATCAGGAATTGTAGCTGCATTTAACCGGCGATAATCGCCACTTACCATTTCGTTTCCGAACTAGATGGAGCGGACTGGCCCATGAACTTTCTGAAGGACGGCAAATTCCCTGTTCCATCATGTATTGAAATTCCTCTTTTTGGCGGCTTTAAGCTTGTCCGAAGGTAAGCGTCTTGCTTTAGCGGCAATTGGAGGTCCGTTAGTTTCAATATAATGTAGTACATCGTGCTTGGGTTCGGAAATACCCATAACTGGGCGCGTGATTGTAGGGAATTCTCTGAGAAGTTGATGCCATGGGGAGTTACCCGAAATCAGTTTAATGCTCAAATCTTGACTATTGCGAATTACTCCCGGATAAGTTAAGTTGGTTGTGGAATCTATCAAACGGCGATTCTTAAGATCGACAAGCAAAGAAAATTTTTGTAAAAAGTCAGCGCCAATAATAGGACTTGAAACAATAGCAATAATGAATGGCCATTGGAAGTTGCGGCGCAATCCTAAATCAACAGATATCAGGCGTTCACCATAAGTTCAACTAGAAGTTCCATTTACTATATAAAGTATACTTGGTAAGACGCTTTTTGTTCGTGAAAATGTGGTGGAACGACAGAAACATCAGCCCCGGTGTCTACAAGAAACCTTAAGCCCGAATTATTTTCGATGACGAAAAGGCGTGCAAAATTCCGTCCGCTGTCGTTCACGACTTCGAGCAACGGCCCTTCTCGTTTCCCTGGTCGTTATAACGACACGGTGGGCGGCATTTGTTTGCCTTGTTTCCAAATTTGTGGTGGTAAAAACAAATACCCGGAGGAGGGCTTTCATAACGTTTCCTCAGTGGGCTACGACGTGTATTTCGACCACGTGATGTGGAGCGGTTGCGCTGAAAAGGTTCAGCTTGGATGGCTACTAACTGAGCAACCTGTTTGGACAAATCATCAATTTGAGCCTGTAACGCCACAATACCTGGACCAGGAGCCTGCATTGCGTGTATTTGCGCTGGAATGGCCAGCTCGTGAATTTTATCAGTGATTTCGAGAAGATTTTTGTTGCTCGCTACTGGCCGCTAAAATGGTTTGCATGTTAGATGGGAGTCTATTAACCCATAATATTTTAAGAATGTTATCCGTTAGGTGACCTAGGCAGCAATTGACAAGGCCTCATATCACCCAACTGTAAATCGTGCAACAGCTGCTTGATTTTAATTGTCTTGGATTCTTCATAAACAGAAATTAATTAATTTTTTTTTAAGATTTGTATTTGTCCGTCGCCGGTGGATTCAAAATTATTTCACGAGCTGATTGCAGTACCTCTGATTCTAACGCGGCGATCGCTGTATAAAATTGAGTTTCGTCGGCAGTAATGTGACTCAATTTAAACTGCGCATCCAATTGAATGAACCATAACAATGGGTCTCGGCGACAAAAAGGCGGTGGCTTAACTGCCACTCTCGCCAATTGTGAAGCAGCATCGTTGTCAACCACTTTAGATCAATCAAATATGCACAATAATAATATGTATAGAAAAATAATCAATATGTATATAGTGACACAGTTTCTTGGTACTTGAAATCAGAAAAATTGGCTCAAATGCAGCAGACGATACATATATCCGTTGAAATTATGACAGAAATATGTTGACTCACCGGAATGCGGCACAACGCTTGAAATCACAGGTGAAATGTCTTACTTGCATCTCATCACACTGGATAACTTACTGTTGCTCAGAATTTTGACATATAAACTCCATATTCGTGCAACATTGAAGGTTGCTATTCTTAATAAATACGGGTCACCAATTATGGTAGTATAATTTGAGACAGATCGTTAAATAATTATAACAATTGAATAGAATAAATATTATTTTGTTTTCGGTTGCTATGGGTTACCAGACTGGCCAGAGTTGAGTTTGTAGTAGGCAAGTTGCCACATATCTATTTATCTATAATGTATATTAAACTTTTAATTGTTTAAAAATTGTACTTTTTAAAAACACTATTAAAAATATGTAAAATAAATAATACGTTTTTAACTAATTCTAGATCATCGTATGTCTGATTTTTCCGCCGACACAGATGCATTTCCGAATCCGAGGCTAATGTAGTTAGGTAGTGACTATTCTTAATATATTTTTGAGTATTTTATGGCAGATTTAGCATTTTATTATTATTTGCATTATTTTCTTATTACGAATATATTCTATACATTATATTACTGAAAGTTTTTTTGTGGGGGTGGCGTCAAAAAGGTATTTTGCCCCGGGCGCCAGTTATGCTTGCTACGCCACTGTGAAGAGCTCATGCTTTATCTTGATCACCAATTTTCACTTTGAAATAGACAAAATAAGCTTTCCTGACAAATGTACTGATGTTTGTCTTTGAGTGGAATGGTAAAAAATATCTTTGACAGCCACATATTAAACGCTTATGACGCGAACTCGCAGACGCAGACATGCGGAAAACTAAACACTGCTAACTTTGTATCTAAATAAGAACTCGGACTCCACGTCCGAATGCGCCTTACTATAATCAGAGAGACACACTATGTCTCACTACAGTATTTCAGGCGTTCCTACGGCCTCATTCAACCGGCGCCAATCGCAGGGTTTATGTTAGCCAATAGCATAGCAGTATCATTTCCTATGACCATACTCGGTACCGTAGAGAGTAATTACATTCACATAAGGTTTACAGCAAAAACTTGGCATGGTAGAAGAAACCTAACTACAGTTTGGAAATCAGCACATTATTTACTGTAGGGTTATATTTTTTAACTAACACTTATTTTAAGTTTAAACTACTTCCTGTCAAGCCTTACTTTCCCCTGGAACTGCAATCCAAAGTATGTAAATTTTAGTAGAACGCGCAAAGTCAAATTATCGGAGTATTCTGTTTAAATAGAAAGGAAACGAGTCGAGGTGGATATTCTTACTTCACGAGCGAGTGTAGTTGGCAAAATGAAGAACCCCGCGTTCGGCCTGTGTGCTTGCTGGAAGTAGTGTTAATCGTTCAAGTGATCTTCAAGTTTGCTGATTGCAGCGGTATTGTAACGCGGTGAGTTAGTATTTTAGGAGCCTCGAGTTTAGAGTCTTGGTCTTTAGTTTCTTTTCAGGATATTTTATTTGACCGCGAGCTGGCGCAGTTTGTGACGTCAAGAGAACGCATTGTAATTTTTACTGAATAAAAGGACTTAAACCCTTAACAAGACTCTCTTTTATCCAGTTTTCACAGTCACCTCTTGGTTGCGTGCAAGTTGGAGGCGCGCAACGCTACAAACTATTAAACAGCTTAACAGAAATTATGTTACAGATTCTTCCTCAATGTTATGGCTGCAGCAATACATTTCATTCATTCCAAACAACGATAACCTCTCTAATCAAAGCTTCACAGATCATTATTTTTTATTTCTAAACGATACCTATATTTCTTTAAAAAATTCAACAATGCATGGTTTTATTACATCGAACACATATATTGTGTGCTCATCAATTTCACAGATTTGTACATTCATTCTTTCGTACACTGAAGCGTTGAGAGTTTCTAGAGTCAAGGGTGGACCCATGCACAGAAGATTTCTGTCCATTTCCCGAACTATGTGTTCGCACAGTAAATCTCATTAGTACCAGTGTCTGCAACTATGAGGCAAGGAGAGCTGTTTATTTCTCCTTCGACAACCGTGATTTATAGAGTGAATTGATTATATCAGGAAAACGCAGACAGAGATTTCCTACTTTCACTTCCTGTTTTTTGCATCTATTTCACTTCTTAGTTCTTTCGGCTGAAGACACTGCTTTAAAATTGTCTCTCACTCTTGCAGTTCAACACTCTATCCATCCTTCTGCGCCTTGGATTTTTTCTCTGCTCAATCCTTTTGTTGAATCCTTCCCTGTTCCCAGCACCGAGTCTTCTGCGCTGTTTATAATCCTAACAGCTGATGATGTCATCTGTTGGCTATTTGTGCTATCTCCATTTTCATGCCATACACAAGAACTTTCAAAAAGAAAACTTCGGCATGAGAACAGTTAAAAAAAATTCAAATAAACACACTGCGTTTATCACTTTTCGGCAAAAATGTTCTTCAGTGTGTCTCGAAATATTTATTGTATGATATAGAAACATTCTGATAATTAATTTCTAATAAGTAATAAATGAATCTACGCTCTTTTTACCCTTATTCTAGTAACACGTAAATTAGAACCATCCGTCAAATTAGATAAAAGGCAAGAATATTTCTATAACGTGAAGTTGGCTCTTTTTTATAACGTGAAGTTGGCAAGCATTTGTGTCATTTGAAAATTTTTTTTCCTAAATTCTTTTTTTTCAAAACTGAAGAGAGCTACAATACCGTGGGTCTATTAGTTTACCGCGCAAGCGCGAACGAAAGACACACACGCACATACAGACAAACTCTTTCTTTTATTATATGTAGAGATTTCTTTACATCATTTCTCTTCGCAATTTTCGAATTACAACAAAACATTTTAGATGTTTTAAATATAATTTTTTGCAACAAAATGTAAATTTTTTGTAACAAAATGTAAACAAAATTATCACTGGAAAACTAAATCAGTGTACATTTATACAAAGAATGATGTTTAAACTTAATCATGGAATTTCTGCTTAAATTTATTCCTGAAGATTATTAAAAAGTGCAAGAAAGGCATATATCAACACTTATATATAAAATGTTTTTAGCCTTATGAAGCAATCTGTAAATATTACAAGATCGTTACCCTGACATATTAGCGCATGGCAAAGAATCTACAATCAAATAGCCCTCGGCAAAACAGCTCAAAGCGGCCGAAGTAATAATTTCCGCATATAGATTATCGCGGCATTCAGAAGTTTCGTATCCTGTGGCCTATACTCTAAATTATAATTGTTATATAATTTAAATAAGAGTTACCCGTTTTGCAGGAAAAAGTATTTAAGTATCACAATAATCTTGAAACACGGGTGCCAATAAACACTGATTTTATTTTTTATTGGTTATACACGCCTTATTTTTTAAATGTGTATAAAGTACAGAAAATATGTTTGTTTATTTTTAGGTACTAAAGCTGGTCGAATTTTGTCGAATGCTACAAAAAGTCGATATTCGCATAGTTATGTATAGATTATTTTGCAATGGGGTGTTTTCTTCAGGCTACTTAGTTGTGGACTATTTTGACGGGTGACGCACAAGATCTACATATCATTATCATTTCTAAGTAAGAAACATCTCGGAAAAAAGACAAGTTCCGAAATTATAAACCTCCATTCACCACCTTTTCGGAAACAAGGAATTTTATCATCTTTTATTGTGATATATGGATGATATCCATTCCACTGAGCGATGGCAAATAATTTTTCTCTTGAGGATGCTTTAAAATGAATATCCAAAATAACATTTTTATCACTGGTAGCTTCAAGTAGATTAAACAACACTAAACAAAAATTTGTGGAAGTAGAATATAACTTGAATCCGAGCATTTTCTTAGGAAAATCCTTTGTTTTCGAAAAGAGTTCGATCCTAAAATCTTGGGAATAATCAGTGCCAAAACCAAGTTTAATCACAGCCAAAGAATTAAAATAGCGAAATCTTAAGCGAGTGTTAATCGAGAAGGGTTCGTAACGTAAAGTAACTTCTGCCTGTGAAATCTGATGACATTTATCCAAATTAACTTTATCGCAACATCTAATCAAGTTCATGTCGTGCTGATCTGAAGAAAGACATTTTGCCCATTGTTCAAAAACCGAAAGCATTTTATTAGATTTACGAGATGTTTCGCACCAACATGGTACATTCATGTCTCCGTATTGGATATGATTTTTCAGGCCACGCCGTTCCATTTCAGAGAAAAAATCCGGGTATTTTTCACAAATATAATCGAATTCTCCTAACGTTAGGGAAGTTACTGCCACTTCGTTCAGTAAAACATCACGAAATGATATATTACTAGGTTCACTGAGCCATATGATTATACCTTCCAGCAGTTCAGCTTCAGAACTTAAAGGAAGCAATTTTTGCTTCAGTGCGTGTAAAACAAATTCTGGAGGTGTACTTTTAAAAAGGTCGGAATGCAAAAATGTATGCAGATGCTGTGACACTAGTGCTTCCCATTTTCTGTCAAGGACAGATTTGTTTATGCTTAAGGCTGGAAAAATGACTTCAAACGTATTATCTCGAGAATAAGATACTTTCTTCACCCAGTCCATGTAATATTCCTGAAATTCGCTGGCCCTGGCTTCGCATATTAGTTTTCCAGTTTCTGAGCTATCATAAGAACTAGTAGTCACATCTTTAAGGCCTTGTTTCATATACCTGAAATGAAAATTTTATTTTTAAACAGTGCTCCCTAAAATTAAACTCAAATTACTTATAAATATAAAAAAAAGAAAGGAAAAGAAAAGAAAATCAGATTTTCACGTCACACCATACGGTTTGTTAAGGTTTTTAATGCTCTCGCTGAGCTTCTAGTTTACCAGTTTGCTCTTAAACTCACTTTGCTAACACAACTGTGTTTGTGTTTTTCATTTTATTATCAAACATGCTTGCGGCACAAAGTTCAAGAAATAACAAAATTTTTAACAGCAGCATATTTTTTCAATTCCCAATAGAGTGTTAACTGTTGCTCTCTCTCTCTCTCTCTATATATATATATGTATTGCTATTTTTCCACCCTTTCTCAGCTCATTATATCCATACTCAATTTTATTAACAATATGACCTACACAACACTTGTTTTTGTCTTTTTAACTTTATTATTAAACATCAGTTTCTTAGCACTTTCGCCACATGAAACTCAACAACAAAATTACAAAATCTTTAACAGCAGCTTATTTTCAAAACTCCCTATATATGATGATTGTTGCTATAATTGTTTTCAGTCTTATCTCAGTTCATCTTAACAATGTGCAGTTTTCTTATCAAGATGACCTACACAACTTTTTAAAATCTTTTTATTATCAACTTTTTGTCTTTTTAACTTTATTTATTAAATATCCCTTTCTTCGCATTTACGCCACATATAATTCAAGAGCAAAATTTCAAAATATTTAAAAATAGCATATATCTACAATTTCCGATAGACATGTTACCATACATTTTGTTTTATATTCGCTATATTATTCGTCCTCTGGTTTCAGTTTTGGATGACTTGACTAGTTACACAAACCGTTTTTGAAATCCTCCCCATGTGCTAGGCATACGCTGTTAAACTCAATATACAAAATCCTCTACGACAGTGGTCTCAAACTGAAATTGCCCGCGTGCTGCATACACAATCTGACGGACAAGAATGTTTTTTAACGAAATTAAAAAAAAATATTAACGGAATAAAATATACTTTAAATAAAATTTGTTTATTAAATAATTTACAAAATTTGTATATTATTTAATAAACAAAATTTAGGTCGTGAGGCTCCGAAAGGTCGTAGGGCTCCGAAAACGTGTTTTCGCCACCTTTGGCTACACCACACCAAGGTTCCTCAGGAACAATATTGCCTGTGTATCGAGTTCTAAGTAAACTATTGTTACAATTCCAAAACTGTTCAACACGGAATTAAAAGATCTACAATTCTATGTAACAAATAAACACTTAAATACAAGACATATGGCCACTAATTAGACTAAACACAAGGTAAACACAAAATTACCTAAATAAATAAAAGAATACAAAATACGACAACATAGAAATTCAAAAATAATTTATCATCCTATTTATAAACGCCATAGTTAAACTATTTTCTTCTAAGATAATACTTTACCAGTAGGGGCTCGTAAAAAGCACTGTGAAACTGCAGCACACCCTATTTCCACTTATTATTATTTAATAGACTGTGCCCTTTCGTCTTTAATTCCTTCTTTATACTTTTACAATACATAATCCTTAAGCTTAATGTCAGTAGCCATCCCCCACTTTGTGAAAAAGGTACGAAAAGTCTTTGTTTGGGAACTGCGCGCTTCACAGTTCCAGCAATGTCGTATTTAGCTGTTCTGCGCATGCGCACACAGAAACCAGCACGCGAGCCGAGTTAGAGAGAAGAGCAGTGTCGCTCTTGCAGTGCCGAAATTCTGGAATGTTGCTGAAAACGTGATTTTTTTTTACTCCGCGCGTGTGGTATTCCTCCACAAGGTCTGGAACTTCATCATACGGACCATAAACAGAGGTCATGAAAATTTGCAACTTTTAAAAAATTGTCTTACTGAAATTCAGTCAACATCAAATGCAGATCAAAGTATTGCAAAAGCAACAGGAATTTTAAAATATCTAAATGATGATAATTTCAAGTTTTGGTTAGAGATTTTTTATCAGATACCTCTTGAAAAAATATACAACTAAATGCAATCCAGAGAAATTAGTTTGTTTAAAGTTTTCAAAACTGCTATTTTAGAATTAAGAAACTCAAAGTACTGTATAAATTTTTCAAAGACACTGATGGCAGAAGCTAAGGAAATATGTGACGTTATACTATGTATTGATATAATGCACAGATTTTCTTCCACTAAACACTTAGCAGCTGCTAAATTGTTTAACAAGAAATGCTTAGTTTTAGGAATGACCATTCTACAGAAGAAATAATACTGACCACTGAAGCATATCCAATTAGTGGCAAAGAAAAGCTTGAAACTGAACTAAAAGTATTCTATTGTAGGTCTGATATCCATGAATACTGCAAATTAATTGAGCTATTGAAATTTATCTTCGAAAATAATCTAGATGATGTTCTTGGTGAAATTACGAAACTGATAAAAATTCTCTTGAGAGTTCCCATGACTACATCAGAGGCAAACGCTGCTTTTCAAAATTGAAAAGAATGAAAACTTTTCTAAAATGCACTAGGAATTCGGAAAGACTAAATGCGCTTGCATTGCTTTCAATAAAGAAAAATTTCCTCAGTTGTCATCCAGAGATCAAGGAGAAAATTATTGATCTATTCGCGCAAATTAAAGCAAGAGGAATGGATTTCATTTTTAAATGACTAGACAAAGATTGAACTGTAATAATTTTGCTTAAAGTAATTAAGAAATGTTTAATTTTTTTCTTGTAAGATTTAATGAAGTTTCAAAATAAATTTTCTTTTTATACATGTTTGTTTCCTTTTACATAATTTGAAAACAAATGTTAAAATTTTTTGGAACAGCACCCCCACTAATTTTAGCCACGAGCCGCCACTGTACTTTACAGATCAACGTTTGCATTGGGATAGTCCCTTGTGTGATAATATGCTTTGGTATCGCCTGCGGTTTAAAAGTAGGAAGTAAAAGTTAAATTTATTTAATCATCTTGATAATCCATAAGAAATTAGCTATTCTAAAATATCCTCAACTACCCAGCAATATTCACAACTTATAGCAAAAACTTATAGCACTATATTGCATTATTGCATTATTCAAAACTTATAGCACTATATTGCATTTATTTTTAATGTACAGTAACAAGGGCTAAAGAATAGACTTGTTATCAAATGTAACACCTTCTAAGCGACGGATTTCAAACTCTAAACGTGTCATTTGGATTACAGACAATTCTGATAGGATTGAATATAGAACTTACATCAAGGTAGAAAAAAGTGCTGCATCGAAAAGAAAAGAAACGAAAATAAATTGGCGATATTTCTTTAAAGAATTTTTTTGAAATTAGATGAAGAAAATGTTTCTGAAAAAGAAAATAATATCTTTAAAGATTTTTGTTTAAATTTGTAGTTTCGCACTTGCGAATGTATTGAAATAGAATACACTTTTTAAAAGTTCTTAATATATTTCTCCAGCTCGAAAACCATTACCTTTGAAACTTTAAGTTACATTTAATGCCTTCTGGTTAATAATACGTTTCGGTTTCCAAATTTGAAATAATTATTGACTAAAGTGTTGTGTAAGCATCTGAGTTATGAGCATTATGCAAGGATAATATGACACAGATTAGTTTTTAAATGATGCAGTTTAGAGTGATTCAGTATAAGCAGTTGCTTTTTTTACAATAGAAAGAGAGAATAACCAAATTAAAATAGAGAATTAAATGAAATTAAGTTGGAGCTTTGCTATATACGCTTTTTATCTTACATATCCTCTTTCCCCTTCAAAGAGTTTTGCGAGTTCAGTTTTTTTCACAGAAAAAGAATCGAGCGTCAGAAGACGAAGATGAACATTATTATACAACATAAATAAATTTAAAGCATGACAAAAAATGCAAAAGAGAGTAGATTTTCATCAAGGTCATAACCTTTTGGTTTCACGATGTCATTTTTTCTCTAGTTATATCTTCCGTTCTACTGGGCCGATTGACAAAATTCATGTCTCGAAAGCGCGACTTAGGATATATATTAGATTTATATGCAGTTAAAAGTCGTTAATCCGGACTCGTCGGGACTTCGGCGATTCCGGATTATCGATTTTTCCGGATTATAGATCATCACTTTAAATCTGGTAAGATGGCATGCAGAACTTATAAAATTAAAAATATGACACCGTAATTTATGAAATAAAGAACAATTATGATCTAAAGGGTATCAAAATTTACAAAAACAAAAAGCTTAATATTTATTTGTTTACTTTATTAAACATTTCTTTCAATGTAAGTTGTTTAAGTTACTTCGTTTCATGTGATAATACTTTCCCTTAATTTTATTAAACAGACATAATTTCTTGTTTAATTACAAAGTTCCGATGTTCAAGTCCTATAATTGCTAAATCAAGAATACCGACTAATTTGTCAATCGAAATTTTTTCGTTTTCGATAACCTCTGCGTCACTTTCTTCACTATCGGAAGCGAATTATAATGACGAGGAACTTGATTTAAATCATATCAAAGACGGAGTACATCGAGATGAAATACTACATTTAGTAAGGAATTATAAGCCAAATAAAATAAAACATCTGCGCTGAAGATAAGGATAGTGCTGACAAATCAACTTCCAATTCATTACGCGCCCGCCGTTGCGTTCCCCCCGCCGAGCAGCGTGAAATTGATAAACAGATTTCGGATTTCAAAACATACTTTCGCTTTAGATCCTTTACATATTAGTAAATATATATCGGAAATTCTATTTGACATAATCGAAAGTTCAAGCTTACTTTTATAAAATTGCTCTAACAGTCTGCAAAAAATAATAAGCCGGATCCAATTCGAAGATTAAGGAACAACGCAATCTGCAACATTAACTGAATTATATAATTTTAGCTTAGTTTATACCGTCCGTTATACATTAAACGCGCAAGCGTAAACGTATTATGCGCATGCGCTCACGCATATTCGCAGCCGTAAAGTTCTTACGCGCAGGCGTAAACGCCAATGCACATGCGTCAATGCGACGCATGCGCA